GCTAACGCATTGCCACTTTCCCGATGCTCCGCAAGCTCCATTCCCGATGGTTCCCGCTTCTTCTTCTTCTTTCGTGTACAACCCGTGGGTACAGGCAACTGGGGGTGGCGGAGGGGAAGGTGAGTGACAAGTCGAAGGCGGAGGCAAGTGGTACAACAACAAGAAGTCGCCCATCAAGTGTTCGACGTGCGGTTGCCGCAAGACCATTACGACGGCGAAGTGGTGCAAGCACTGTCACGGCCCGCTTCCTCAGGTTCCTGCTGCTCCTGTGCGCTCTGGGCCCGCTCAGTCCGATTGGTCGAGGCCGCCTGGGTGGCTCGGAGCAGGTGCTGGGGATAAGGGGGGCCAAGGCAAAGGCTACGGCAAAGGTAAGGGCAAGGGCTTCCATGGTCCATTTCGGATCGATTGGCAAGGCACTGCCCCAGGAGGTCATCTGCAGCAAGCTGGGATGGGAGGGGGTGCCCCGCCGCTCCCCGCTGGACCCGCCCCGGCTCTCTCGGCCGAAGAAGCTAAGCAGATGGCACCCTTATCGGACAAGGCGGGGGGCAATACGAGGGGCAAGTACTCCGCAGATGTGGCAGCTAGTCTGGAGGCCGCCAGCAAGCCAGTGGAGGTCAACGTTCACCAGCAAGTGCAGCAACAGCATGCAGCTGTTCGGCGCTTGGAGAAGCAGCTCGAGAGCCAGCTCAACCGCCTGCTCAAGTGGAAGCAGGAGACCGTGGAGCTGGAGGAGCAGGTCCGCCTCTCGAGGGAGCAGCTCACGAAGGCCGACGAGGAGTACAAGGCTGCTGTGTTCAAGCTCAGAGAGAGCAGTGGGGTTGTCGGTGGTGGCGATGCCGACGTCGCTGGTGCTCGCAGCGCCCCTGCTGTTCCACTCAGAGACATCATGGAGGGTAAGTGCGACCTCTCCAGCATCATCAAGTTTGACATCATGGAGGAATTTGAGAGCAGTGAGTACGACATTTCGGATGGCGATCGGACGGAGCACGAGTCTAGGCTGCAGCAGCTGCAGAAGGGCGTGCAGGACCTGTCAAAGACTCTGTTCGAGAAGCTCACGTCCACGGCCACTGAGGTCAAGGCCGCGCACATGGCACACGAAGCTCGTCTTCAGCGTAAGCGTCGCAAAGGTGATGATGGTGAAGGGGCTTCCTGGTCAGGGAGACAACGGAGACGCACGCGGTGCAGCTGGAGGTGCTGGGACGGGACCTGCTGAGCCACCTGAGCCCGGCGCCGTCTCTCAGCCTGCCGCGGCCGCAGCTGCGACGGCAGCGGACATCAGAGCTCGGGTTGACCAACATTTGTCAGGTGCTCCCCCCCCGGCCGAGGGGGGGTCTTCGCTGTGATTTGATTGTGGGCACCTCGAGCTCGGATGGCCATGCTCAGCTGGTTTGACTTTTTAGCTAATCGAGTCTCGTCCATTGGCTCGACTGTTCGCAAGTCAGGTCTGCGACTAGCTCGCAAGCAGCGCTCGTTGTCGCAAGGCGCCTCTGAGTGTTTTCCTGCTCCCCTTTTTCCTTGGGACGCCCATCCTGTGCCCCCAGGTGCCCGAGAAATCCAGGATCCTCGTCCCTCTCCTCTCCCCGGCCTGGCAGATCAGACGTTGAGCGAAGATCCAGCAGCCAAGGCTGCGGTCGCACGCTTGCCGTAATCCGAGTTGTTTGCTGGAGCAAGTACGGTCAGGGCCTCCAGTCAGTGCGCGGTGGACTGGTCAGCCCCCGCCCCTGCGCCTCCAGCGACGTCTGAGTCAGCCAGGCCTCAGAGTTGTGGGCCCGATGAAGGTCTGCTGGTGTCCACCGTGAACGCCAGCAGCTGGGGCATATTAAAAGGATGTTTGTCGAGCTGTTCTTCGCACATCGCCCTGGCTCAGGAACATCGCCTGAGGGGCAACGACGGGATCAGCACGGCCTCGAAAGGGGCCAAATATTTGGGATGGAAATCGCTTTGGGCTCCAGGTGTTATTGGCGACGGCGGGGGCACCTCCTTTGGGGTCGGCGTCTTCGTGCGCGACGCGTTCGGCATGTTTGAGCATCAGGACAGGGTCGTGCTGGCCGAGGGCCGCGCGATTGGGGCCATGGTGCACGTGCCAGGTTGCGCCACCTTCTGCGCCCTCTCCCTCTACCTCCACCACAGTGAAGGTCTGTCCGAGGCCAACCTGTCTCTGTTGAAATCCGTGTGTGTGTGTGTGTGTGTGTGTGTGTGTGTGTGTGTGTGTGGGGGGGTCAGAGGAGTTCTGGAATGCGAGTTCATTACTGCTGTCGACTGGATATTCCCCCTCTGAAGCCCTGTCTGGTTCGGGGTTTCCCGCTAAAACGAACTGTGCTGCTGTCAGTGCTCAGGGGCACGCCCACTTCCCGAGCGTTGGGCTCCCTGCTTGCTTTGATGAGTTTGTCGTGTCTCACGCCCTGTCTCTCGGTATCAAGCAGATCGATGTGCAAGTGGATTCCACCATTCACCCACACAGGCCAGTTGTCCTGCGATTTCACGAGTCTGTCGGTGATCTCAAGGCTCTCGCCTCCCGCCGTCCTCCCGACCTCCCCGTGGAGCCTCCCGTGGGCCCGCAACCTGAGCCTGGCCCTTAGGACGCTGCTCTGGGTTGGGCCCGGGATGCTTACCAGGCGGTGATGGAGGGCGAGGGCGAGCGTGCCCGAGCTTTGCTGGCTCCAGGGCGCCGAGCCTGGGCTAACTCGGCCGAAAGGGATCTCCGCGCCATTATGGGGGTGACGGTTCATAACGGAGCCAGGGCCAAGCGCCCCCAGTTGTTTTGGAAGGGAATCCTGAAGGCTGGTGGTCGCGAGTCTAATCCTGCCCTCAGGTCTATTCTTTGGTTGAGCAGTCAACTTCGCGCTTCCAGGTGCTATGTGTGCCCTGAGGGCCTTCTCGACGGAGGCCGTCAGGTGCTGGCGGTGCTCTCAGAGCCGCCGACGACGGTGGCTGTGGCGCCAAATTCAGAGCATGCGCCTCTTTTTCGCACTGCCGCAGGCTTAGCACGTAGTCTTCTTTGCTCGGTGGACGATTCTGAGGTGGCCGCCGACCTTGATCGGCTCATCGGGGACGTTGCCGAACTTGTGCTTCAGATCAGGCTGCCGCTGCCAAGTCTTCGAAGAAGGAGTGGCAAGACTGGGTCCGCCAGGGGCTCGAGAAAGGCGCGAAGAACGCGCAGAGGGCCATCCGTGACCCAGAGGCTTGGGCCCCCACTACCACGCTCTCGCGGTCGGGCATAGTGGTGTCAGATCCGTTGAGCTTGCTCAAGGCTGAAACGGCCAAGTTTGTTTCCATCTGGAAAGAAGGGGGAAGTCAGGGCCTCTGTGGCAAGGAGGTGTTGCCGCCCCCCCCCTTCGAGCCTGATCTCATCGGGGCCATGGCGAAGAAGCACAGGCCTGCGGCGGCCGTCAGTTTGGACGGTTTTCATTGTCATCACTTTAGTTTGCTCTCTGACAATGCTCTGTTGGCCTTGTCTTTGTCGTTCTCGGTGGTGGAGGCCACGAGGGCGTTGCCTGTTAAGCTTTCGTGGGTCCTGGTTGCGCTTTTGGCCAAGCCCTGCGGGGGCTTCAGGCCGATCGGAATCTTTCATAGCTGGTACCGAGTCTGGGGCAGGTGCCGTCGTATCGAAGCTCTTCGTTGGGCAATCCATCACAGCCGTTCTTACTGGGCGGCGGGGGGGACGGTCCGAGGCCAAGTCAGTGCCCCTATTTCTGGGAGCTTCGCACGTATTATAAGCATATCGGCCTTGGTTTTCTTTGGGCCAAGTGTAAGCACCATCAGCTCCCCTTGGGAATTGCGCGCCTTGCGATTCATGTCTATTCCTGCGTCAGGTGTACGACGTTGGAGGGAAATAGTCGACGGGCCCTACTTCGCTCGGAAAGGAGCCGTCGCGGGCTGTACCTTCGCGACGAGCCTGATCAGGGCGTTCGCTCTGGAAGCTTTCGACACCATCCCGAGAGGCCCCGGGAGTTCCAGTTCCTGCCCCCTGGGTCTTGAGTTTGACGCGTACGTCGGCGATTTGAGCCTCAGCGCGACTGGCAAGCCCAGCGCGGTTGTTAGGTCGTTGGCTGTAGGTGCGAGAGCACTTCACTTGGCAGTTACCTCGACGCTCAAGTGCAAGCTGGCCATGGATAAGATCGGCATGGTCTCCAGCAGCAAGGGTGCATCGGTTTCGCTCTCAGCGGAGCTCGGGGACTTAGTGGGGGATCCAGCTTGCACTTGAGTGACCAACTTAGGTGTGGACTACACGGCTGGCAAAGCGGTCAGAGCCCCTGGGAAGAACAGGAGTGCCAAAGCCAAGCAGAGGGCAGCTGCGGCCCTCAGGAAGTCTCGTCGTCTTGGGAAGCTCGGTCCGACTCTGGGGCGCAAGGTGGTTAACGTTTTTGCCTCGGGGCCCCTTTTGCGGGGGCCGTGTGCGGTTCCGATCTGCGCGGAGTCTCTGACCGTGAGCTGCTTTCGCTTAGGCGCATGGCCATGTCTGGCGTGAAGCCCGCGGCCCCAGGCAGGTCTCTTTCGGTTTTGTGTTTGTTAGAAGGGGGCCCGACCTGAAGGGCCAGCTGCGCCCTATCATCAGATGGGCCAAGGAGGTCTGGATTCTCCAGACTAGGGCCTTTTGAGTGGGCCCTGGGTTGGGCTGAGCTCAGGGCGGGCTGGAGATCGGCTCTTGACAAGGACGACTGGTCTTGGGCCAAAGTGTCTGGCCCCATCTCAGGGCTCCGCATGTCTCTGTATAGGCTTGGCTGGGCCATGCCAGATTTCACCACCCTCGTTGACGATTTTGGTCGAGAGATCTCCCTCACCCTTTCCCCTCCTCAGCTGGTCAAGGTTTTTTGTAAGGAGGCGGTTTTTCTGAGCCTCGAACGTGAGTCGGGGGACAAGTTTCACGTGGGTAGCCGTCTCTGTTGGGACGTGCCCAAGAGGCTGCTGGCCTCGAAGGAAATCCCAGGGTTTACAAACGGCATGATTCGAGCTCTAGCTACCAACGCTTGCTGGACTGCAGGCGATGCGGCTGACTTAGGTTATCCCATCTCCAACCTGTGCCCGCTCGGCTGCGGCGCCAAGGACACCCTGCTTCACCGTTTGTGGGCGTGCCCGTGCGTGCAGGCCGTGCGGGGCGAGCACATACCGAAGTGGATTCAGGAAGCGGCGCTGGAAGTGCCAGAGGACGACCCTGAAAAGCGAGCTCTGTGGCCGCACGGAGCGGTCAAACATCCTGGGGATTGGGCTCCTAAGCCAGCTATTTCGCCAGATGGGGTCACTGTGGAATGGTTCGCGGGCCTGCTCCCTGATCCTGTCAGGCCAGACCTTCCCCCTTCGATTGTTCTTAGCGATGGCCTCCGGGGGCACATTTTTATGGATGGATCGTGCTCTAGGCGCACTGTTAGGGAGCTGTCCAGGGCTGGGTGGGCGGCGGTGATGGTCTCGGAGGTCTGGGGAGAAGTTGGGGGTCATCAAAGGTCCCCTCTGGGCTCCGTGGCCTCAGACCCCCCAAGGTGCCGAGTTTGGGGCACTTGCCTGGACAGCTTTGTATGCTGAAGGCCCCGCCCAATATTATTCATACTGTTCCAACGTAGTGCTGCTGCAGCATCTCGGCGCCATCGAGGCGGTAGGCCGACAATACGCTGGCTTCGTTGTGCAGGCTCGTCACCACTTTGGCCGTTTCTATGAAGGCTTTCACAAAGTGGCTGCCCACAAAGATGTGGACGAGGAGGGTTTGTCGGCGGGGGAGCGGTTTCGGAGGGTGGGGGATGCGTACGCTGATGTGGGAGCGAAGGAGGGCGCGTCGCGCCATCCGACCATGTCGCCGACGGAGCCGGAAGGCTTGGATCGGACTATCAAAATAGCTCGTGCTGTGCTGCAGGGCGGAGCCGTGCTCCTCCAGCTCTGGCCCAAAGTAGAGTTCCGTGGCCTTGAGCGGGTCCAACCGCCCAAGCTATCTCGACCTGTTGGTCTGGAGCCCGAGCACGCGTGGGAACGCCAAGGCAGTCTCTGGCGGTGCCGGGTTTGTTTGCGTGGTTCCAGGGCGGTTTCCCCGCCGTTGGGCGTTTCGGAGTGTGCGGGCCGCAGCAGGCTCGATGAGGCCGTCCTGGAGCGTCTCGGGCATAGGGCATTGGCGTCCCCATGCTCAGATAAGTCTCACCTGTTCAGTTGCACGACGTGCAAGTTTTACAGCAATGGTGGAGGTGTGTTGGGCCTGGGCCGTAAGTGCGGCCCAAAGGAGCCGCAGAGAGGGAACACGAACCGAAAATCCCCGCCTTCCGCCAAGAGGCCCCAAGAGGCCCCAGGGGTCCACCAGGAGGCCCCCAAGGAGCCCCAAAAACGGCCCCCAAGAGGGCTCAAAACTGCGTCCAAGAGGTCCTCGAGAGGCTTCCCACGACACTCCAACGAACATCCACCAGGCTTATACTCCACTGCCCAGGCACGGTTGCGGGACTTGCCAGAGGAAGCTGGATGTATGTGCATATCCATCCACATGTACATGCGAACGTATACACACGGATGTGACTGGACACATGTGTAGATATAATTGTTTAGGTGCATACTTTAAATATGCGCATCGATGTATACATGTATATATCTACATGTGCACACATCTACATGCATACATACATACATACATACATACATACATACATACATACATACATACATACATACATCCATACATCCATACATCCATACATCCATACATCCATACATCCATACATCCATACATCCATCCATCCATCCATCCATCCGTCCATCCATCCATACATACATACATACATACATACATACATATATATATATATATATATATAAGTATAAAAAGTAAGCGCCTCTATATATATATATATATATATATATGTGTATGTATGTATGTATATATGCCTCTTGGGCGTCTTGAGGCCACTTGGAGGCGCTGGGGAGGAGGTATCAAAAAAAGGGGGCCCGATGTCATGGAGGTTGGCGGGGCGTTTCTCGTGGGGGGGCGGTCTACGTTTATATATCAGAGTGCGCTGTATATACGTGTGTGTGTGTGCGTGTATCAAAACTCCGGCGCGCCATCGAGCCTCGACACTGCTGGATACGGTCCCGTCGTCTGTCGCCAGGTCGTCCTGGCACTCCGGGTCCTCCGCGGCTTCATCGTCGCCCTCGTCCTCCTCGCGGGCGCGCGGGCACCAATGCGCACACCCCCCACTCCAGCTCCTCGCGTTCCTGCTCGAGGCTCCCTCCCCCCCAGTCCTTCGCCGCCGCCTCGTCCTCCGCCCCCGCCCCCCACGTCGGACATTCTCCTTCTGGCTCGGCCGAGAAGGAGTTCGGATCTCTGGGGAGCGACGCAGCGAGACAAGCACGGCGTCCGTGGTGTGGTAAAGGAGAAGAGATTGTAGCCAAAGGGGGTTTGGAGGAAATCCGCAGTGGAATCGAAGAAGCAATAACTGCAAAAAAATTGCTCCGACCCGAGGAAACCGCGCGGACCTCTGACAGTTGACGCTTCTACCACATTTCCCCTTCGATGGACAGCCCCTAGAAGAAGAGAAGTGCGCAAACCTCCAGACGGGTTTCAGACCCTAGCCCCACCCTGCCACCCTGGGATCACCAACCGCCTTGCGACCTCTTGGAGAAGAGGATCAGATCGATTCGGCCACTGAAGGCTTCCCAAATTGGGCCAGAATGGATGGGGTCGGATGGTCGCGCCGCGTCGCCGATGTACAAGCGACGTCGGGACGAAGAACATCACACTCCGGGTCGCCCCAGCCAGCCCATGTATCGGCGATGCGACGCGATCCCATGCCTCCGACGGGGTGTTTTTTGACAGCGTGCCCCCCCCAAAGGCTTGAACCCTTCCTGAAGACCAGCTCTTCAGCCCGAGCCGTCTTCTAAGAGAGCACTTGCTGCTTCGCGGCCATAACGGGCGTATGGGGGAGGGAGAGGGGGTGGGGCATAACGTAACTCTGGAACTGCGCTGCGCATGCGTGCACAATAGTTTTTCCCACACCCTCCTTCGAACTTATTATGCGTTGGTGTTTGCTGCCACTGTGCTGCATCTACTTTGAAGAGTAAGGAGTGCTACAGTACTCTGCTTCGACCGCCTCAAGAGCCAAAACGTGACACGAGACCTGTCTCACATCTGTACCGCACTGCCTGTCCCAATGCATACTGCACGCGTGCACCACAGCGCTTGCGTGCACAACAGCGCCTGCGTGCACCACCTTGCCGTCGCTCGGACGTCCATTTCCCGTGCATTTGTCGGTTTCGCGCGTGTTTTTTTCGCTCGATGGTCCAGGATGGTCCTCGATGGTTCTCGCCGAGAAAAAATGCACACGTCCGAGCGACGCCAGGCCACAGCAGCCGCGCTCACCACAGCGCCTGCGCACACCGCAGGGCCCGTGTCACCACAGCGCTCGCGTACACCACAGCTCCTGCGGTGCTTATACTCTTCTGGTGTGGAAATAGCTTCTGGGAGGGGTCCGGGCGCACCTCGGCCCCCGAAGGAAGAGGAAGAGGAGGAGGAAAACGCACGATACGGGTGAACTGCGAGAACACGAGTGCATTTCCGACGGTACCCGGGTACCCGGGGAGCGTGCGAACACCGCGACCACGATCACGGTGACTAGGGCGACGATCACGACGAGCACGACAACTGCAACGACTACGATTGTCACGACGACGACCGCATGCCGACGACGACTATTATTACCACGAAGACGAATACGGCGGGCACAACGATCACCACGACGACAAGACGACCACAGCGACGATTACGACGTCACCCCGTCGCCCTCCACCCTCCCTCCTCCTCCCCTTCCTGCTCCATACATCACTACTGCTGCTACAACTGCTGCCACCAATACTACAATTCTCGCAACCCTGCCAACACTATACCGCGGGCGACAATAGCCTGCGAGCGAAACACCGTGTCGGCGAGCACTGGCAATGAGCCTGGCCATCCTAGCCGTGAAAGCTAAGAGTAGCCTGCAAGGACCACAGCAGCCTGCGAACATCACAGTGGCAATACCAGGGGCGCACTACGGTGGGGGAGGGGTGGGGAAGAGGGTTACGTTATGGGGGTGGGAGGGGCGCATGACGCATGAGGCCTGCCCTTCTTTTGTATGCTTCAGCGACACGGCCACAACTCCTTCTTGCCATGTCCGGAATGCCTCGTGGGAGGTTCTCCTTGTGTTTTTCTTGGAGGCAACGAGGGGACCACGCTTGTCATCTGTTAGAGGCCACTGTCCCAATCGATCCAGGCTTGCCAAACACAAAAATAAACAGAAGATCTCATCGCGTGATGCGAATGTACTCCGTCCTCCTCCTCCTCCTCCTCCACATTCGTATCGCATGACGGATCCAAATTTCCGATAAAAAGGAGTGGAACCGACGGAGAAAAAGCAACAACCCGTCGCGCGCGGGGGGCGAAGGGGGGTCCTCCCGGCCCCCGCGCCACCCGCGGGGCAGCCTGGGCGCGGAGGCGGCGCCCGGGTGCACCTTGGCCAACTGCTCGCAGACGCGGCCCAGCGCGCCGCACATGCCTCCAGGGATTTTGACTCCCGAAGTGGGTAAGGGACAGACTGCGTACGGAAAGAATGGGACTCGCGCCTGCTGTTGGGCATTGTACCCATTCTTTCCGTACCCACTTCGCTCGTGCAGAAGAGGGGGGCATGTTCGTCTCTGCCGTTTGCTGTGACGCGGGGGTGTATCCATGCGTCAGAGTGAGGGGGCCGAGCCGTCGTGCACTGTCCCTGTGTGCGTGGCTGAAAAGTGGGATTATATGGGCCAAATGCTTCCAGGGAAACTTTTAATACATAGGATGTTTAACAATATAAAAAATTTTTAATACCTGATTGATGTATGAATAAATGTATGCATGAACTCATCGTTTCTGTTGCTTACAGAATCCCTGCATTTTTAATACATGGTCCGCACGCAGAACATGTATTGAAAACGGCACTGTCCTCCCCAACTCGGTGCCCAGCGTGTGCTTCAAATCAAATGTCCCTTCCTGGGCTCGCACCTGTTTATCTTACAACGGAAGTCTAGGGCCTCCGAATGGGTTCTCGGGCCCCGAACCTCTCCAACAACGGCTCCCGCCCGATTCATCCTCACGGTTCATCTCCGAATCGCGCTCACGCGCGGGCCTCCATGGCATAGCTGATGTTGAAATCGCGATCTCGTGCGGCACTGCCTTGCCGTCTCCTGCGGCGCCCTGCCCCCCAAAACACTCGAGAATCACGCCCTCGCGTTGGACCACCGTGGCCCTCCCGTGGCCTCCCCGTGGCCTCCCCACTGCCCCCCCGCGGCCTCCCATTGCCTCCCGTGGCCACCCATTGCCGTCCATACCTCTGCCCCGATCTCCCTATCCAAATCGCTGCTATCTCCATGTCCCGTTTACCCCTACCATGTGCAACGGGACAAGAGTCAGATCAATGAGATCCAGGGAGAGCCCCCCTGGAGAACCAACGTTGACGAATGACGGCAAGACGACCTGCCCCGGAGAACCTGTTGAACAACCCCCAGCGGGGATCCAGACAACCCATGCGAACAACCCCCTATCCCCACGCCCAAATCACTATATCCCCTCTACCCCTAAACCGCACTACCCCTAGCCCGATCCCCATGTCGTGACGACCCCCCATCGTGGCTCCAATCGTAACTTTCAAAAATGTTCAGGGCACTCTGCCGCAATGCTGTGGGCAATCTCGTGGCAACGGCCGGGTTCCCCTCGAGGTCTGGCCAGAACGCACCACGAAGGAGAGGTCCGGGCATCGACCTTCGACCACCAAGCCCTGACATCCCTGCGCCGCGCAAGAACACGAGGTGTTGTCATTCTCGGCCACCGTGATAAGCGGACTCGGGATGAGAAGCCAGTTCCCAAGAAATTATCCAAGCAGGGAGGGCACGTGGCTGACTACCTACCAGACCACCCCAACCCAACCCGAAGGCCCGAATTCGACCCGAATTTGGGGTTGGGGGGGGTACGGATCCCATATGTTTTTTCTATGTTCCCCGACCCCCCCCCACTGGAAATCGAGGATAAATTTGGGCCTTCGGGTTGGGTTGGGGTGGTTTGGTGGGTGGTGAGTGGCGAAAAGAAAACACGGCGTCGGATATCTTGCTTCACCACCGCATTCGTCTACACTGCATCGTCGCGGCGGCAGGATGCACAGCTCTCGCGGGGTGCCCCATCGGGGGCAGCAGCGACCGACGCGTGGCGGAGATCCTGGCGCCGAGCGTGGACTGCAGACATTGTGCGCAAGGTGGTCCACGCACGGACCTTTGGAAGAAGATAAAACGCCACGAGGAGGGGGGGCCAGCGCGGATCCAAGAAATCCGCGCGGAGCGCCAAATATCTATGTGTATTGCGTGTTTTTCTCATTCGAATCTGGTTGATTCAAAAGGTGTAGTGCCCCCGCTGGAAAAAAAAAGAAAGTGGTCCTGAAGGAAGCGCAAACGGGGTAGCCAAGAGCCCCGGTGGACAGGGTGGCTGCTTCGCGCGGACGGGGCAGGGCGAGGCCTCGATGTCTCGGTCACGGAGGGGGGGTCTCGATCACGGAGGGGGGCCAGCGGGGGACTCGAGATCTCGATTGCCGATATCTCCGATGCCTTGATATGTCGATGCCTCGACAGCGGTGGAAGAAACAAAAATCAAATCCTGGGGGCCAGCCTCTTCATCCCGCACCGTTTTTGTTCAGGGCCCCAGGGCACCGCAGAGGGCCACTGGATCCTGACGAAGGAAGCCCTTGGATCCCATGTTTTGGTGCCGACAGCAGGGGCCGTGCGGGCGAGCAAACGGACGCCACAAGCGCATGGGGAGCCCGCAGGGTCACGGCGTGGAGGCCGTGGCCTCCATGAGGAAGGCCCTGGAATGGCGCGGGGGGAAGACGAGGAGGATGGACAGAAATGGCGCGGGGGGAGGGCGGAGGAGGGAGGGATATTGGGTTAGGTCGGGCATGTCCTCCTACAGGCGCACCTTGGACGAAAAATGAAAAATACCCATGACTATATGTTGGCAATGTTTGAATACTCGTCGGTAACCATGTCGGCTCAATATTTGGCTCAATTGGTGTTGGCTCGTTCGCCTAAAATTGCACGCAATGTGTGCTTGATTCTATTGAGCGTGCTTGCTTGCCCCGCCTGCGTGAACGCCTCTCTGTGGCATCGACGAATTGCGGCATCTACTGGTGTGATCGCCCGTTTTCATAATGATTTCGGAGTGGACCAACAAGTGTGGGAGGATATTGTCGTGCCTTGTATTCCGATCGAATGTACGCTTTAACATGTACGCAGTGCCGCGCAAGCGAAACCCAAACCAAACACCTCCGATGGCAACTCAATAATCAATTGCCCAAGTCAGAGAGGAAATGCTTCAGTGCCTAAGCCGCTTGAACCATGTTGGACAGACCTTGCAGGAATACCGTAAAGAGCTCCTGCAAACAGTTCCAAGATCAGGTCGGTTGGACATTAGAGCAGACATTCATATTAACATATTGATAATCCAAGCTTCGATAATGGACTGGACCCATTCGGAAGTTGAATTCAACCGGACACCTCTCAATAAGATGCCGAATCGCATTGGTCAGGCAATATGTTTGAGATGTTGGGCGAGATGAAAATGCTACAGAACAACGTGTGCGGAAATATTCAATGGGAAGGGCACTCTTTACTGCATTCAAATTGGCATTGAGTCAACACTCCCACCACATGGTCGCTCAAACACGTGGCGCTTGGGAAGAACTGGATTACGATGAAAACACAAATTATTTGATACTTTTCGGATGCAAGAAACATTGGGCATGCGGAACTCTTGTTGGATGCGTAAGACACGGCCATGGCGGGCAACATACCTCTTCGTACTGCGACGGCGATTGCAGAAACTCGTCGAAATTCCTGGCACATCATCTTGGAAGACTCGTCATCGAATCCAACTTTGAATGCACTTGGCCAGCCGGTCTGTGGCCGTTTGGCCATGGAGAACGCTTCGATTCGAATAGTGGGGCACTCATTGTAAACTCAATGTATTGGCGATCAAATCCAGTCCTGTCCTGTCAGCCAATTCAACAAATCAACGCTTCATGCCTGTAATCGGTAGTGGCCGGCCTCATACCGAGCGTAGGGCAAATCATGCAAGTATGATTTGTTGTTTATCATCGCCCTCCTCCTCCTCCTCTTCCTCCTCCTCTTGCTGCGGTTTCCAGCACATTTGATTTTCATGCGAGATTGCTAGCAACATTCCGTCTCGTGTTCGCGGGCGAGGGGGAGCACGAACCATGCACACGTGCACCACCACCACTCCCTACCGGCAAGGCAACGTCCTGGGCCCTGGCTTGGGTGCGAAGTCATGGGGGGATGACAAGGGGGGGATGAAGAAGGGCCCCCTTTCGGCCCAAGGCCCCCGCTTGGGCCCTCAAGATCCCCTCTGGGCCTCTGGGGGCACGAAAGAGCCCTTTTTCGGCAGCCCTCGCTGCCCCCCCCCCCATGCATCGCCACCCCACTGCGCGCCCCCCCCGTGTGCACCACAGCCACCCACACTCTGCCAGGAACGTGCTGGGCCCCAGCAGGGTGCGCACGCCCTCCAGGCCGGGGCCGTGGGGGCGGTAATGTGCATGCTGGGCAGCAGCCAAGAATGGGACACTTGATTTAGGTCGTGCACGGCCTCCTACAGGCGGAACTCGGCGGACAAATAAAAAGTAGCCAAAAAGTATTCCAAAATGGTCGAAAACTGGTCGAAGAATCGTCCCCAGACAAACGTTATATATTTTTGAATATTCCTCCTGTAGAGGGACAGGCCCGACTTAACCTTCGGGCGTCTAAGAAGCCCACGGCGAGAAGACAGACAACATTTATGTTACTAAGGTTTTTGGCCCATTTTGGCCTCTGGGTACTGTAATGTACGACCCCCCTTTCGTTGATCGAGCTCCTCCAAGATTGCCCCAAGATTGCCCCCAAGGCTCAGTGCGTGAGCGATGCAGGATGAAAAAGGAGACACGAGCAAAATAGGGGCAGCACAAGTAGGGGCAGCACGGGTGGGACATGAACATGTGGTGTATTGCAAACGTTCACAATTTCTTGCCGGCAACGCATTTCGCAAGCGGGGTGCTCTTCAACGCCAGAAGCGGCTTCGGTGAAGTCCCGCGCGTGTGCGGTGCAGAAAGCGAGCAAGGCAACCCGAGGGCCAAGACTGCGAGCTTGAAAGCACCACGGGGAGAAGCCCGCGCACTTGCGAAACTCGCACTCTTGACCCCGAAACGGGGACAACACGTAGAGGGGGCGATGCCCCGCCTGCCCACCCTGCTTAACTACCGCCATCGCTGGACCTCACAGGATCCCAGGAGACCCTGAGTGTCCCGCCTCGCGTCCTCGACGAATGCCGACACCGTGCCGCAGTCGCCAGATCCCACAGGATCCAAGGAATCTCAAAGTGCCCCGCCTCGCGTCCTCGACGAAACCATTGCGTCCTGCGTGCCAGACAGCCCCTGGAGGAGACGTCGCGGCGTCACGCCGTCGAGGCGTCACGACGCATGAGCACAGAGGC